ATTCAAGTGCAAATAGTAGAAACATATTTAACTGACAATGACTATTTTTATTTTGATTACCTATATATTTATATCTTGAATTTATATCTGGAATTTAATGCAATTACAATCAAATCTTTCAGAGCCATGGGTAATTAATCAGCGTAAAAATTAATGTTCAAGTCCGAGCAAATAATTTCGCCGTCCTCATACGAATAGATTAGAATTTAGATTTGAAAATGTAAACTCTCTACTACAATAAGAAGACAATTGAAGTAAATGATAAAATCGCTATAAATCGAATGAACTCTAAATTATCCGAACAATAAATTCGATCGGTAAACAATACATGGTCGACGAACAATAACACTGTCTCTCGCAATGACGAAAACGATTTACAATAAATTTAACCCCGCTGGTATCGCGATCACCCTGCAGTTCAAATGAAGTTATCTCGCTGGTTCTCCGCATCCATCATGAAAAATGCCGGACAATTATTCTAATGATCACCGCGGTGAAAATATGTCGTTCCTTTTATTCGCCGGGCGGATAAAAATCCCACTAAATTCGCGCCGCGCAGCTGGATATTTCGCCGCGGAATCAAGCGATCGAGCTGCGGAAAGAGAGTCCGGGCGCGGGGCCTCGATCTCGGGGCCCCGGGTCCCGGAACCATGGAAAAAAGGTGAGTCCGCGGCTCGCGGCGCAGCATCGTCGCGAGCGCAGCGCGCAGGTTACCGCGTGCTTTTTATTCGCGATTTACATGATAAATCTCGTCAGGAGGACCGACTCGACATCAAAGTTGAAAGGCCGAGGAGGAGCGTCCGAGCGGGTCGTTTGTATCGGCCGGGCCCCGACCCGGCCCGGCCCGGCCCGAGCGAGAGAGCGGAGGCAGAATGGCGCGCAGGTAGCGCAAGAAAGGTCGGTCGGCCCCTCAGATGCTCGCAATTAATAAGAGCTTAATGGGAGCCGCGGGGCCGATATAGCGCCGCCACGTTCGGGGCCCGTTTCTTCGTTGTTCTCCCACCGAAATCATCGATGCCGACAACAAAAAGCCACGGCACGGCCGTAAAACATTTCGCTCCACTCGACGGAGGTGCTCGGGACACGTCCCCGCAAAAAGGGCCGCTCCTTTTTAACCCCCGCGCGGGCCCCCTCGGCGAATTATATAAGAGACGGGGAAGATCGTCCCTTTCCGGGGGATTAGGGCCCAGTCGAGGAAGAATTCGACGGCCGAACTGTGTCGCGTAATATACTAAACTCGAATGCTTGAAATGTTTAACCCCTCGCGATCTGGCTACGAGTCGGATTTCCCATAGACGCGATCGGCTAAATACCAACGTTATTTATTTCGTCGTAATTGAAACGAAATTTCCGTTTACTGATATCAGAGTCTACGAATGGAAGCAGTCGACGACGGACGAGAAACAAAAATTGCATCGTTCTGGCAGCGCAATCATTATGGTCGACGCAGCTGTGAAATTAATTGCTGTGCGACGGGGTTGATTCGCAAAATCTTCCATTCTAATGTGTTGGGATTGTTCGATTATATCTGCTTTTGCACGCAAGGAATTAATAATTGTATTAATACAATTTTGAGAACCATATTTTGTGCTACGATTTTCAGAATAAAATAGCGCGCGATTCTTGAAACGTTCGATGGCGCATACAAGAATAACAATTGAATAATTATTAGGAATGAAATATCTACTTTTACGCAAAATAAAAAGTGTCTACATTGATTGTATGAAAAGTCAGTCAGTTACGTGAAAATTTCTTCCCTCCTTCAATCATTTTAATAAGTTGTACACAGTACAAAAATATTCTCAAATCCTTCTAACGTTTTTACGATTTTATTTTCGCGATCAGTCAGATTTAAAAAAATTCATAAAATCCGCGAACAAAATATATAATTTTACTTCCGTTACACTTTTATACTATACTTCGGTCATCTTTCTACCATTGTCCAGTGTTCGAAGTGTACAGAAAGTGTGCGAGAATGACTGAAAAAGAGGAAAGTAATTTTCATCAGAGGCTCGCATTGGCCCCAGAACGTTAACTTCGACAATTTTTATTTCGCCTAAAAATCCGCGATCCAATGGCGCGAACCATGAACAGAGATTCTGTAAAAAGAACTCCGCGAACAACTTTCCCGCACGCCGGAAAATATTCTGCTCGGCCGAGCGAAGTGAAACGTGCAGACCAATGCCAGACGTGGCGCACACACGTGTAACACCTCTAATCGATAAGACGTCCGCGACTGGCGAAATGAACCCTCGTTTTACTCACCGGAAAGGGGTGCATACGGGCCGTGGGGGTAAGGGGGTGCGGAGGAAGCGTCGACGAGTGACTGCGACGGCGTCGCCGACGTCCAGTCCTTGTAGGAGGCCGCGGCGTGCGCGTGGTGCGCCGCATGGTGGGACGTATGGTGGCCGAGTCCTCGTGCACCACCCAACAACAGGCCACCGTAACTCGTCACGGCCGCCATATTATGGTGGTGATACTCGTGCACAGCTCTGCAACAAACCGTGAAAATCGTTCGCCTTTTACATCTCCGTCCGCCATGTAGGGCAGCGGAGCCGGTTACTGTGCGCCGACCAAATTGCCCCGCGTCTTTCGCTTCGTTTTCGGTTTTAATTAATTTCACACAGCGCATCGAATTTCCTTTACACTTCCACCATGCTCGCTCCTTTAATCAAACAATTTAATATGTATCATTCGACGAGCCACTTACGCGGCACGAAGTTAATTAGTTTATTCTTCGATCTTGTTTCGATTAACTTTACATATGAAATTCTCGTGTCTTCTTTCGTTTCGTTCATTTCTGAGTAAAAAAAAGGAGAGAGAAAAAATCAAGAAAATTGAGAACACGTATTATTCGATAGACGTATAAAGACAGTTACGCTGGTGTAACGTTGATTACTTTATTCTTGTACGTTGTCTCCGCGTTTAATTAACTTCACATTGATCGAACAAGCGTATCGAATCGTTTCGCTTCTTCGTTCGGGCACAAACAAATGTAATATAAATGAATATAAAAAGTGCTCGCGATGCCCATGATTCGCAACGAAGCGAAGGCACAGCGATCGGGGCCACAGTAACCGGCTCCGCTGTCCTAGGACAAGCCAAGATCCTAGCAAGAACGAAGGACGGATGAAAACTAACAGAAAATAAAGAAGAGAGGAGGGAAAAGAGGAGAAAAGAAAGAGCGGAGCAGGGTGGAGCGAAATGAGAGAGGGAGGGGAAGAGGGTGGCGCGAGAGAGACGGAAGAAAAGAATTCTCGATATCGTGCCTCTTCTCAAGAACGGTGACAGACTGGTAATTTATACGGCGGCCGACGCAAGATCAGCGCTAAAGATCTCTCGAGCAGTGGTACCTGCTCCCGACGGTTTTCTGTATTTTTCACGTCTCGTTTTCTCTTTGCCTCCGCCGTTCTCTCTTCTTCCCACCGTCTCTCTCTCTCTCTCTCTCTCTCTTTTTCTTTTGCTCTCTCGCTCTTTTTCTCCGCGCCGCCTTTTGTACGGTTCTTTAATAGGACCTCTCTCGTTCTGGCGCGCGTTCTCGGCTCCCTCTCCCCCTCCCCTCTTTCCTCGATTTCTCGTGATTTTTCTCGGATTTTTTCTGCCTTTTTTTCCGAACCCCCCCGGCCCCGCCGGCGGGGCCCGCTTCGCCTTCGACTCGGGTTCGCCTTCGCCGGGGCTCGTTTCCCGTCTCGTGCGCGGCACGACATTCATTTCTGACGGTTTATCCCGGCAGGCTATCGCGTAATGACCGTGTCGCGCCTGCCGGAGGTGGATTTTTGGAATGCGTGAAACATTGGCCGCATTATCGTCCGTTAATTGAACGGACGAGGCTCGCGGCCGTTCCGTCGATTTGTCACGAGACGGTTTCGCGCGCGACGCGCGAAACACGGGCTTCGAGTGTGAAACCGGTCGAATTTAAAATGGAGCACGCCGCCGCGGGACCGGATGGATGAGATTCTTTCGGGGAGCAGGGGGGGAGAGGCTTCTTCCACGGCTGTTCGTAAATATGCGATGCAATCGGATCGGATCGGATCCGGGGAGCCGCGGCCGGCCCGATCCGGCAGTTAAAACGAATGTACAACTACCGTTTTATGGATTATTAAAGCAGCGCGCGACGGTCGCGGATGATTTTAATGAGAGCGGGGTAGGTGTCGGACACGCACTCGCGTTCAATTAAGATTGAGTTCGCTCTCGCGTCGATCGCTTCGATCCGGAAACCGCTTCCATGCGGAAAAATTGCGAAATTTCGGCGATGGAGAACGGTGGCGCGGCGGATGTTATTATATTTTGGGAATGCGCGCGCGCGCGCACGCGGGTTGGTTTTGTAAAGTTTTGAAGTTTGAAGTGAAATGCGTTCAGAGATGAAATTTTGACTTTCGGTTTATTCGGCGACGATGTCCGCGAGCGATTGGAAACTGCGTTGCGGCGAGGCTGCGAACGAACCGAGATCAGTGTTGTGTAAAATATTGCTCCGCGTCGGCCATTTTTATTGGATCTAGCGAATAGTTTGTTAGAATTTTTGGCCGGATTTCATATTTGAAATATTCACCTTGTAAATTGCTTTCGGTTCACGTTATGACTTTACATCGCGATTTATGTTTGCCACGATGATAATTATATAGCGATAAAATGATCGAGTAAAGAAAATCGTGATTGCTTCGGCTTGAACTCAGAAAATTGCAATTCTTCGAACTTCTATAATTGAATGGTCATAAAATTTTGTAATAGAATTTTTGCCGATCAAAAACTGGCCAAAAATTGCATTCAGTGAATTCTTAGAAAATTCTTTCTTGATTTAAGTTTAGCAAATACGATATTTTGATTAAGCACACGTCTAAACTTGCTAATTTTGTGATTGAATAAAATAACAAATATAATAGAGTATAATTACGATAATAAATATAAATATGTGAATATAATCATAATACTAAATACAAATGTGTAAGTATCATTATACTAATAAATATAAATATATAAATATAACTATAATAATAAAAACGAATATGCAAGTATAATTATACTAATAAATATAAATATATAAATATAATTATAATAATACGTACGAATATGCAAGTATAATTATAATAATAAATATAAATATATAAATATAATTATAATAATACGTACGAATATGCAAGTATAATTATAATAATAAATATAAATATATAAACATAATTATAACAACGAATAAAAATGTATAAATATAACCATATTTATATTCGACGATGGCGATCAAAAATATCAAGAAAGAAACGAGAGAATCAGTAATAAGTAACGTTACAAAGCACCGTAAATTTGTATTCGCGCGACAGAATGTTCATTCCTTGCCGCTTATCTGAAGCAGATAAAATCGTTAAATGGTCTCACCTGTGGTGGTATTGTGGGTAATGAGGATGCCATGGATCCGTTGGATATTCATAGCCTTGGCCAGGATGCTGACTGTCCCAAAAGGAAGCCGGGAAGTTCCTCATGGACATGGGAGAGATGTTTTCTGCAAAAAACGAACGCACAGGCATCCTCTCATTAACATTTGAAACAACAAATCGCTGTAAGCCGGTAATTTTATGAATAACAAAATCATTGTTCGGAATCGAGAGATTTCGTTGGCGATCCAAAAATTCGGACAACAATAAGACAACTTTGCCGTTGTAAAAATCGCGGAACACGCCGCGAGGCCGACTGACGCGAACGATTAATTCAAGCACAATGACGGACGCGTCGACCTCGGCATCAGAACTGAGCGCAGTGATGCGTCTGCTCGACTAAAAAATTGTTTCGATGCTGTATACGGGACTTCGGGAACTCCGGATGCTCTCTTTGCGCAACGTGCTTTTTCTAAAGTCGCGGGAAAGCCGAACGATCCATAGACGGATGACGCGGTAATAACCTTCGACGATGAATCACGCGGTGTCTTCCGTCGATCCAGGATCGATTGACCCGGATCTTCTGGGACCGATCGATCAAGCCTGCGCTCGACGCGACTCGACGCGACTCGACGCAACAATTTCTATCGAAAGCGAGCGAACCCGGGCGAAAGCGAGGAATGTTTATTAAAATATTTGTATCGTTTCCCACGGGCCAGCACACGCGATTCTTTCGAGGGCTCACGACGATAAACGAGTAGCCGGATCCCACGAGATCGAACCGCACGACAGAAAGGTACCGCTCGGTTGTTTTACAAGCGACCACTCCGAAGCCAGAAGCTTGTCGTGTATCCTCCCGCGAGTCTCCGGGTCCTTGGTCCCAGGATTCCTTTTTCTCTCCTCGAATCTCTCCTTTGGCCAATCCAACACACATATTCGAAGGTTGAACCAACGAGGTCGAGCCGGCCGGACGATTTATACTTCTAATTCCTCCTCTCGCCTCTTCCTCGATCCTCATCTACGGCCGCCTACAGCTGCTCTTAACTATCCCCATGGCGACCGTGTCGACGACTAATTTATCCCGGCTCGTGGAACTACCATTATTTAACGTNACGAATATGCAAGTATAATTATACTAATAAATATAAATATATAAATATAATTATAATAATACGTACGAATATGCAAGTATAATTATAATAATAAATATAAATATATAAACATAATTATAACAACGAATAAAAATGTATAAATATAACCATATTTATATTCGACGATGGCGATCAAAAATATCAAGAAAGAAACGAGAGAATCAGTAATAAGTAACGTTACAAAGCACCGTAAATTTGTATTCGCGCGACAGAATGTTCATTCCTTGCCGCTTATCTGAAGCAGATAAAATCGTTAAATGGTCTCACCTGTGGTGGTATTGTGGGTAATGAGGATGCCATGGATCCGTTGGATATTCATAGCCTTGGCCAGGATGCTGACTGTCCCAAAAGGAAGCCGGGAAGTTCCTCATGGACATGGGAGAGATGTTTTCTGCAAAAAACGAACGCACAGGCATCCTCTCATTAACATTTGAAACAACAAATCGCTGTAAGCCGGTAATTTTATGAATAACAAAATCATTGTTCGGAATCGAGAGATTTCGTTGGCGATCCAAAAATTCGGACAACAATAAGACAACTTTGCCGTTGTAAAAATCGCGGAACACGCCGCGAGGCCGACTGACGCGAACGATTAATTCAAGCACAATGACGGACGCGTCGACCTCGGCATCAGAACTGAGCGCAGTGATGCGTCTGCTCGACTAAAAAATTGTTTCGATGCTGTATACGGGACTTCGGGAACTCCGGATGCTCTCTTTGCGCAACGTGCTTTTTCTAAAGTCGCGGGAAAGCCGAACGATCCATAGACGGATGACGCGGTAATAACCTTCGACGATGAATCACGCGGTGTCTTCCGTCGATCCAGGATCGATTGACCCGGATCTTCTGGGACCGATCGATCAAGCCTGCGCTCGACGCGACTCGACGCGACTCGACGCAACAATTTCTATCGAAAGCGAGCGAACCCGGGCGAAAGCGAGGAATGTTTATTAAAATATTTGTATCGTTTCCCACGGGCCAGCACACGCGATTCTTTCGAGGGCTCACGACGATAAACGAGTAGCCGGATCCCACGAGATCGAACCGCACGACAGAAAGGTACCGCTCGGTTGTTTTACAAGCGACCACTCCGAAGCCAGAAGCTTGTCGTGTATCCTCCCGCGAGTCTCCGGGTCCTTGGTCCCAGGATTCCTTTTTCTCTCCTCGAATCTCTCCTTTGGCCAATCCAACACACATATTCGAAGGTTGAACCAACGAGGTCGAGCCGGCCGGACGATTTATACTTCTAATTCCTCCTCTCGCCTCTTCCTCGATCCTCATCTACGGCCGCCTACAGCTGCTCTTAACTATCCCCATGGCGACCGTGTCGACGACTAATTTATCCCGGCTCGTGGAACTACCATTATTTAACGTTACCAGTGTCAACCGGGAGATATTGTTTGAATACAGCAACCTTTGGCCCCCTCGGATATCTCCGGGCTCCCGCTGCGCCGTCGATCGATCCGATGATTACGCGACACGAATAACTTCATTTTAACCCTTAGAGGAGCAATCCCGGGTCCGGCCAGGCCACCAATTATGTGCTCGTTTCAACGTCGATTCACGGTTTACGACGAGACACGTTTCTGGAATCGAGTCGGCCAGTCGGCAATTGTGGACGATTCCGCGGGCGAAGACTCGTTCGGTGTGATTTTCGTAATTAATTGCAGGCTTGTAATTTGCAAAGCTTACTGTGTCGTCGTTTAATACTGTGAGAACTTCTGTCGTTCTGTTTATAATTTTTCTTACTTTTTAGATCGATGTTTAGGGATACATCAATTTATTTTTTTAGGGTATTAGCGGCCACGTTATAATTGCTCTTGTATCTCAAAGAAAATTGATCTCTATTTTGAGGAAATTGGTAATTATTTTGTCGCGACTGTGATTTATATATTTATTATTTTGTCTGGTCATTTTTATCGCGATTGGAGAAAGTAATTATGTTACTTAATAGTTTAATAATTAGGTCCATAGTTTGAAATATGGTTTATATATTATAAAATCCATCGTCCAATGATAAAATGTATATTTTCTTATATCAGCAATTTCTACAGACAATTTGTTTTTGACCAGTTTTGTTACCACTTTATGCAATAACTGTGACGTTAATAATTTAATGATTAAGGTAAGTACTATATTAAATATTGCAATAATCCTTGAATTCATTTCTGGACATTTAAATTGAATGCAAAGAGCAATTTGTGTGCTCGATTATATAATTATTCTGGACTTATCTCTAACTTGCTGATAATATTCATGATAACTTACTTCGTGTATGAATATTAACGAGTATTTAAGATAGACCAAGATGTACAGAGATAACACAGTGTTACCTTTATTACAGTTGCTTTGACATCGTTGTTAAAAACAGTAGTCAAAAAGCGTTTGCTAAAAACTGTCGCTTTAACATCGTTGCTAAAAAGCAGTAGCCAAAAGCGATTGCTAAAACCAGTTGCTATAAACAGTTGCTAAAATCAGTAGCTTCGACATCGTTGCTAAAAACAGTAGCCAAAAGCGTTTGCTAAAAACTGTCGCTTTAACATCGTTGCTAAAAACAGTATAGGCAAAAGCATTTGCTAAAATCAGTAGCTTTGACATCGTTGCTAAAAACAGTAGCCAAAAGCGATTGCTAAAACCAGCTGCTAGAAACAGTTGCTAAAAACATTTTCTTCGACATCGTTGCTAAAAAAAAAACGATAGCCAAAATCTTTAACAAAAAGCAGTAGCTCCGACATCGTTGCTAAAAATTCAATCAGCTTAAAACTGATTTTATCCCGTGCACTGTGCATGACACATCTGTGGTAACATCGAGCCACGCGGAGGATTAAATGAAACCCGGAGAAAAATAAAAAAGAAGAAAAAAAACGACCGTTCCGTGGCCGAAAGAGTACCGTACGGCCGATGAACATATTAACAAGGGCCCGAAGAAGCAGAGGGCTCGGGGAGAGATCGAAAAATTTCGAATCGATCGGCGATCTCCGAAGGGGCCGACGCGGCCCGACGACGATACTTTAATCCGATTGGGTATCGGGTCGTCCCGGTAACAACTGACCCGCGACACTTTAAGCATAAAGAAGCCATGGGGCCGCATTGTTTCCCACGCGTGGAATGCCGAATGGAAGGAGCGAAAGGGGGCTCGTTCCCTTAGACCGTGTAAAATATACTTTCTGGTTGATGCCGGGTCGGCGGCAACTGGCCGCGCGCGGATCGGCCCTCGGTCTGCGCGCCGCGCGCGGCATCATCCTCCTACACACGTATCAAGAAAGATTGACTAACTATCGCGTTAAATATTGCGATTTGCTTACGGGGGAGAAGATGCGAGATAGCGGCCGGAACCGGCCTTCCACACACTTTTCGTCCTTCGTTCCACGTCCTTCGTTCCGTTCCTCCAACCCCCGTTGATCCCTCTTCCAGTTTCTTGGCCGACGCCGCCGCCGCAGCCGACTCCCTTTCCTCTTCTTCCCTCTTTCTTATTCCCCTATCCGGGTTTTCTGTCTCTCCGGCCTCGGCTCACCGGCCTCGGCCGACTGTCCTTTATTTATTAACGCAATTAAAGAAACAGAGTGTCGAGCGTCCACGGCCGGCTTTCTACTGTGCCGATGCCGCGGAGACGGCCGACGGGAACGCGGCACACACTCGGAGAGGGAGCCAGGGAGCTTCGCCGCCGAGCCTGGATTCAATTCTATTGCGAACGCCAACGGAACCGCTGATGGAACTCCAAAGGGTTGTCGATGCCAAATTCAACGACGCTTCTTCGGCCCGACGAATCGCCACCGTGATTTCTCCGTAATTGGGGAAACCGATTTCGACCCCGGCCGAGATCGAGGCTTCCCAGCTGGCCGCGGTTCGCCGGCTGGAATTCTGGAGACGTCGATTCTCAAGATGACGATTTTTTGGTTGGTTTATTTATGAACGCTTTGGGAATTTATCGAGTTTTTGCGATTCAACTCGGATAAGAATTTATTCGAATGGAACTTTGTTCGAACAAGAATTCTGGAATTCGTGCGGAAAATAATCGATTTGTGGAAAAATGATGGAATATAAAGCGTTGTTTTTATAGTTTATTGGTATAAAGAATTATAATCGCGTCTCGTATTTTTATTCGAATAAATATTTATAATTACCCTCTATTTATTCGAATAAAGAATTATAATTGTTCTCCATTTATTCGTATAAAGAATCGTAATCATTTCGTATTTATTCGAATAAATATTTATAATTATCCTCTAATTATTCGAACAAAGAATTATAATTATCTTCTAATTATTCGAACAAAGAATTATAATCATCCTCTATTTATTCGAACGAAAACTTACAATAATCCTTTATCTATTCGAATTAAGAATTATAGTCGTCCACTATTTATTCAAGTAAAGAGTTATTATAAGAATTCGATGAAATATAGTACTGCTTAAAAAGAAAGTGGTGGGTATAGTACACTCGGCCTGTAAAGGGTTAACCTACATGCGGCCAGTTCCGCATTCTTTGTTAAAAGGTCGGGAAGCATCTTCCTAAAAGAGCTATACACGGATATTAAGAATATTATTTCATCCGAAAGAATTTTAAAGGACCATCATATTCTTAATTACGATATTAATCGCTACTGCGTGTAACATCGTCGGACACTATTTATAAAATTCTTCTTCATTTATATTCATTTATCTTCGTGTATCATTTATATATGTACCTGTGAAACGTTTTTGAAACATCACACAATTTCTGTTATTTGTAATAATTGCATCAAGCAGTACGGAACAAACAAGATGAAACAAGACTGAAAAACAAAGAAAATGTATTGGCATATCGTTTCCTATACGTTCAAAACAATTTGAGAAAGCGAAAATTTAACACAAAAAATTTTGGACAAGAATTGACGCCAACTTCGATTGATGATAACTCCGCGAAAAATCATCGTAGAATAATGAACTTCGATTTAAATTAAAGCTTGAAACCTCTACTTCAAGAGCATTCTTTTGGATTTTAAGTTCTATACATCCTCAACATTGCAACCCTTTCAATATGAAGCCATGTTTGTCATATTGAAAATTGCCAAGTTTGGGATAATGGGTTACTTCAAAATGCTGTAACTTCGCGAAAAAAAATCGCAGCCACGTTTTCTTTTTTTTAAATTAAAGAGGAAGGATCGTAGTTTATACCACTGTAAACGCCATTTCCGGAAAAAATTTTACAAAGCCTGTACATTTCTCCAAACTTGACAATTTTCAATACGACAAGCATAGTCTCACATTTCAAGGATTACAATGCCAGCGGTACAATGGAGTGCGTCAAACTTAAAATCGAAAACTATTATCCGAAAGTAGAGGCTTTCAGCTTTGATTTAAAGAAAAATGCATCGTCCTACGATCATTTTTCGCGGAATTATCGCCAGTC